GAAGAGCATAGAATGCGCTGGCTCTTGTATGAGCTAAGAAGACATGGGGCCACATGCACTTTTGAACGATTCTGGGATTTTTGGGGGGATTCCAAGGAAACGACGCCTTCTCAGACGGTATTGCTATCCACCAGGAGCTTTGTAACTTGTGTTCTATGCATTAACTGCCTATGAGTAATTGAGACAAAGGCTGGAGTGGATTTGCGTTGTTCTAATAAATTGAGGTATCCCCGAATTGATTGAAGGTTGGCCGACTTCGATTTTCGACTTTTTTCCAAGGCTGTGCTCCCATAGCAACAAAAGGGAACTCTTAGAAAATTTCACTCGCAGAAAATTGAAAATTGAAAATTTCACTGGAGAGTATCTAATAAGAGCTGATGGCACCGGGCTTGATTTCAACCCGCGGCTATAGCCAGCTTCGATGCAAGGGCGGTGAAATTAGTTTCAGCAAACTTGTGCCAAACCGGCCGATGGACCGGCTGATGGCCCTCTGGGAAGCCTAATAGGAGGAGTAGTCTATATGCCTTTGAACGCTATTACAAGGAAGTATCAGAGATCATTTTACAGCTTGAACTTCTGTACTTCTATCTATCTCATCCTGCTGAGGACAAGTTATTTCCAACGATCACCATCCGTTATAATTTCCCACTCATGAACGAATCCAAATACCGACCGATATCCCTCCAAGGGTCATTTCCGCTCTTAGAACGTGATAGATATCCTTGTCAGCATGGGGGTTCAAAGAGTATCATTGCCCCACAGGTTTTTGGACTCTTCCCAAGACGCGATGTAGTAATGTAATTCTAGTAGAGCTTCTTGGCAACATTTAATAGGTTTTCGGTGGTGTACCTCGGTTTTCTTCATCACTGATAGCAGTTATCACTGCAGTTAATATTTTTCATCCCAGAATTCGTTACACACCTGCACTCTCACTGGTATACTACTCCTTTTTGGAACATCTCACACCCAGACTATAGGATTCCGGGTAAAGGCGATATCCATAGATATTTCCTGATTTAAGTGCCGCCTGCTGGAGATAACCAGTCAGCGAATCAAGATAAGTGCTCTAAGCGGATCAGGGATAAAGCTAAATTAGGTGTATGGACATCTCTCGATTTTGAAGCCGTTTATACCCTTTTTTAGACGACTTTCCTAAAATGGCAGTCAGAGCCTTTTCCCACTACGAAATGAAAATTCACGGGAGATAAGTGTCCACTGCACGTTCTCATATCGAATTCCCTCTGTGGGTTTTCCAAAGAAAGAATGAGAAAAGTGGTGCTAACACGAGATCTCCACGTGCTAATCATCATATAACGTAATAGTGTTAAAGTAGGACTTTCCATATGAGGTGAAGAGATTTTTGTGAAACCTTTCTGAAACTTGGGATACGCCATGCACAGTACTTCACCACGGTTTGGTGTAGTGAGGAGAACCTGTGGTGGAACTTCAATGTCTAGCTTATGCGATGAATTAGGACAATTTCTTAATTCCAGAAAAAAAATCTTTGTGTTGTATCCTTCCTCTNATGACTAACACGATCTGATGCTATAACTTGCTCATTTTTCTTTTTTACTACCCTACTTGTGATGGGAATGAAGGAGAATGTGGCTAGAGCTAGTTCTGTGATGAAGTTTGAACTTCTCCANCTTCATTACATTACTAAGTGTGACTTTGCTTTTGTTCTTTGATACGGTCTTATAATAAAAATTTGACGGAATCTGATTTCGAGTAGCCTTTCCCTTTTCTCTTGTTCAAATCTGGCCAGTGGAACGAACGGTCAAGGAACGCTGGGACAGTTTTACTATCACTCCTCCTCTCTATCCGAATTCCTCCGTAAGAGTGGGACAAGTTCTTTTTGCACTTTTGATAGTATAGCGAACTACGTCGGACGGGAAAAAAAGATGTGACGTAGTTACTATGAGGTAATTTATGGCCTAAATTTGCATAATTATATGAGATCGTCTTGAAAGGTCTCGTACGTGGTTCCCATACCTTATGCTTAATTCTATGTGGGAACCATACATACGAGACAGGCTCAGAGGGAACCTCATCCCCAACCAGGATGAAGAATGGCTTCAACGAAGTTGGCTCCTTCAGTTGGTCTCCCTCCTTCTAGCCCCTCTGCTTCGAAATGGTCCCGAAACGTTGAACATTCACCAACTTCTCCCTCCCCAACCCTTTTTCCAAGCCCATTTCGTCTCCTTTGTATCCTCGAACCATTTTTAAGTCACTTAGTAAACGTCCAAAGATCCGTTAGCTAGTGCTAGGGGGCAGAAGAACTTCGGAACTTTGTAGGAAGAGTGAATGGCAGGTGTCAAACCTAGAACGTTCGCCTGGATGAATCTGAAATCGTTGCTTTGCACTACAGTTTTCTTTCCGAGGACCAAAAACGAGCTAATCGTCTTCTCATAGGCTGAAGCGGAGAGCTTAACACTGATTGGGCAGTCTTCACGTGAAACGGCTAGCTAAGGCAAGGGCTAGAAGTTCTTTCTGAGCCGTTTTGTCACCCCCTTCTGCAAAGGCGATTTAATGTCTTTCGATAGGTGCCGTTGGGTAGGGTTTGTAGAGGTGGAAACGTTCTTTGCTGGATGATGTGATCAACTTGCACGATGACAATAAATGCAAACGTGACAATCATCTCAGAATACTGCAAAGAACATAATGTGCGTGTTTGTCGTTTTGTCGTTCGGACGATTACGACGTATTTTTCACGTTGTCTGTCTGCCGGGGTCTCTGCTATTCTCCCTAGCCTTATCTGCTCTTTTGACGTGACCATCGGAAGCGCACGTGCCATGCCCATGTTCCTACGTGGGGGCTAAACGGATGCCGTTCTACGAAATTGCACGGCCTCACGCGTCGTATTATGACAGCGCGCACGTATTCCATGAACAGCGCCGTTATGATGGAACATTCCAGCAGCTGCACTCGATGAAACGTTGTCTGCTAAGCGAACATGCAAACATATGGGCAATTTAATGTGGAAGCATATGCCTGGGAATCCCTCGAATCGAAGAAATACACTCCCGAACTGTCCAGGAGAAGTTTCCGATAGATTTGGATTGGATGGTTCTGTATAGGTCACTTCCAGTTGCACCGTCCCGTCAGTAATGAAAACCGGCGCTATACGATGTCCCTGAAGTGCATGGGCCGATCGCAGCCAGCAAGACAACGCCCGTGCCTTGGCTACGTGACAATCAAGGGTGGCCAGACGTTGGGCATCGTCACGTATTTCGACCCTCCCACCTCCAACCATTCCCGCATTCGCTTTGACGTGTCGTCGTCGCTTCAGCAAAGCGCACAGCCTCCAACACCACCACCACCGCCACCGCCTCCATCGCCGTCGTCGTCATCGTGTCGATTCAACTTATCGAAACGTCATCACAAACAACAATGACCGAACCGCATGTTCTAAAACGTCGGGTCTGTTTCTATTCAGATCTTTTGTCAGATTTTGTGTTCAGATTTTTGATCCCTTGGGGCTCGAAACCTTTACAAATAGATTCTTCGATCGTTCCGTATTTTTAGGTCAATTTGTTTAGCTTTACAAGGTTTGGGTAAAGTTTTGTGGGAGGACCATTAGGCTGTGTGGGATGGGAATGCCCAAATCCAACTGCATCAGCCTACTAACTACCCCGCACGGTCGCTATTAGGATTCCGTATCAATCTGTCAAAATCGGCCCGAGAAAGAAGTGGAGGCTCTGAAATGAGCGACATTTGTTCTAGTGGCCGTTCCAATAGTACCAAGACCTCTTTCCACTGCTCTATTTCCGTCTTATTTACTTCATAGGTCAAAGTACTAGTATGTTGCTGCATTTTTCTCAGTACAGCTGCTTGCTCGTAGGTTTTCATATGACTCTGGCAAGCAGCCATTTGTTTTGCGACCATACTCGCTGTGGTTAGTGCGGGTAAGTAAATACATAGTACAAAAGTCACAATAAAGACGTGCCTAGCACCAAAGTCGTCAAATCAGAATTACACAGTTGGAATGGAATGGGAGTAGCTAACCTACCAAGCACCTAGGGACGAAATCGGGTGATATCCCATTATGGATCGAATAGTGTACCCTGGTCCTTATCGGAGCGGTGCTTTTACGTCAAAGTATTATATTTGCCACAGTTTTGATTATATTTAGTGACCTTAGCTTGTAACTGGAGATACGCTCGGATATCTACCTATTTATGACCATTCTTCTATTAAGAGATTGTAATTTGAGGCGATAATCAGATTTTTCCTACTTTCAATGATGACTAACACGATCTGATGCTATAACTTGCTCATTTTCTTTTTTACTACCCTACTTGTGATGGAAATGGAAGAGAATGTAGCTAGAGCTAGTTCTGTGATGAAGTTTGAACTTCTCCACTCTGACAGAGGCTAGCCGAAATTCTTTACCCTGACGGAAATCACCTGGGGTTCGTTAGCGTGTAGGCTTGCAATCTTACTTGCCGGTATTTTACAGACAATCAAAAATTGGCCCTAAACCTCATATTTTTACTTCAAAAGATCAGAATCAACCAGTGGTGAAAGTTCCAGCTAAAAACAGTCATTACAATAACGGTGATGACTGATGTCTATCAAAGGCAGGCAAAAAAAGAGAAGCTTAAAAGACCTAAAGTTCAAAAAGCGATAGTCAGCTTTCCCTTTCAGTGGAAACCCGATAGTGAATAGGCTTTCTTTTCTGATCCCTGTTGTCGTTTTGTCTGGCTTTCAATGTACAGGAAGCAAGAAGTACGCTTTCTCTACACATGTGCACCTACCTATTGTTCTTCAGGATGTTTGGCCTTCCCACTAACTTCGGCATATGGAATACACAAAAGTAATAGCCACGGGTGATAGCTTCACGTAAAGGCGGCTAGCTTGCCAGCCTCTGAAAAGGAGGTTGGGAAGACTTCCAGTGGTTTACCGCAACGCTTCGATCCGGGTCCACTCGAATAGTCTTCACAGGCTCCCTTTCTTCATTGGGATATATGTTAGCCAACTTATTCAGTGTGTTTGAGGTAATGGTGCAGTTGGACAAGGTCCATAGAGATGGAATAGGATAGATCTATCCAAATACATATAGCAATATGGTAATCTAATAAACATAAATAATCTAATAAACTCATAGCCGAATAAGGAAAAGAGAAAAATCTACAAGATAAATATTTTTTTTCCTTAAAAGCAGGAGCGGTTCAAATGGCGAAGCCAGAAACGGCCGACTATTCCAAGATGTAACTAGTGAACACGAGAAGGGGAGGGTAGAAGTCTTCCTTTAAATAATCGTGATCACTGCTTTCGAAATGGGAAGTTCCAAAATGAATGAGAGTTTAGCAAGGGGAAAGTATCAGAAAAAGGGAAAAAGGATGGAGGGAAGGGGGAGGGAACGGATGAAAATGGCTCGCTGAGCCAAATTGGCCACCTTTCCCAAAGTTGCAGTTGTCACTGACCCCAAAATTGAGGGATCATAGGGTTACCTACAGTAATGGAGAGCGCTTGAGCTAGAGGTACAAATTTGGACTATCAAAATATTTCGCTAGAGGATGGTAACTGTTTAGGACAGAGGCGAATGAAGCTTTTGTAATCTGTAGTGAAATCNGGATCATAGGGTTACCTACAGTAATGGAGAGCGCTTGAGCTAGAGGTACAAATTTGGACTATCAAAATATTTCGCTAGAGGATGGTAACTGTTTAGGACAGAGGCGAATGAAGCTTTTGTAAATCTGTAGTGAAATCTGTTTGTAAATGAGATGCAAGTTGTTCTTGTAGTCAATACTGGAATTTCTGTTATTTCGAAATCATTTTCTTTTTGGTTTCAAAATTATTCATAACAAACATAAATCACAATTAGTGATAAGGGTGTGTCGCGTCAGTTATCATAAGTGAAATTCCTTTTAGGAATGTCTCGTAGAAGTGATGTGTACGTTCAAAGCCACTGGAATTTCTGTTATTTCGAAATCATTTTCTTTTTGGTTTCAAAATTATTCATAACAACCATAAACCACAAATAGTGATAAGGGTGTGTCGCGTCAGTTATCATAAGTGAAATTTCTCTAAGGAATGTCTCGTAGAAGTGATGTGTACGTTCAAAGCCCATGTTTTTACTTTTCGATTGGCCAACTTTTTTTTGAAGTTTTTTGGCCGTCTAACACCCATTGTGACGTTCTGCTAGATAAGCACTTTTGCAAAGTCTGGTGGTTTCACGTGCAGATTGCAACAATTAGGCAAACTATTTCTTTGGCCAATGATTTTTCAGTAGTTCAAGTTGATTTGCACTTTAGAAATGTCCTTTGTTTTCATTACCCCATAGGTTTGGCCATTTAAAGTCAGAACAAACCAGTTCTCGATGCAACACAAACACAAAGAACGGCTACCAGCTGGTGCATTGTTCTGGAGAACAAGAGTTGGAAAAGAGAGCACGTGGCATCACTTTTTCCAAAGCGCCACGTATTCCACTGTTGTTCGCAATTATGCAAGTGATGAATTCTCTAACACGGGCTTGCTAATGTCCTGGGCAGACAGTATCTTTTCCTACCTGTGAGTACCGATCCACTGGGAATGGAAGGATTCTCCGGGTCCGGGTGACTGATCCTGGCAAATATGTTCCCCACTTGTGACCGTTGCCCTATCCTTCTCCATAACTTGACTGATATGTTTGGTTATGGAGACAAGTGGACTGGTTCCTTGACTGATTTAGGTATCAGAACTTACCTGAGGCCAAAAAGTGGCTAGCTTTTTAATCTGTCGTTAAAAATTACGGTACTGATCATCCAATTGTGACTCAAGTCTGTTTACTTTGAAAAAAGTAAATGAAATTTTATGGTGGGAGATGGAGTGACGGCAAGCGGCGCACTATCACACACATGGCCCGGAGATCGAACCTGGACCAACACACGCCCAAGTTAACCAACCTTCCTTCCCTCCAGGGTCCTTTGATTGTCGGTTAAATGGTAGTGGACTCTGGGAGGATGAACTCACTGGGGAGTTCATCGGCTGGCCACCGAAGGCAATGTATACGCCACCTACGCATTCAAAACGCCATTGCTATTCTGAATGGAAGTCGAATGCGGGGCGCTTCCGAAAAATGGGGATTGACTAAAATTTGCCTTATTCTATGTATGATTAATGTGGGTGTAGGTCTATCCAAGCTTTTATTATATTATATCAAAATTCTCGTTCTTGCAGTTTTTTTCTGATTAAAAGTAATATTTCTCTATTCCCTACTGTTCAGCCAACATTTAAGCAACTGTGACAATGCAGAACTATCTAAGGCATGTTTGACGTCAGGCCTTTTTCATAGTCGCCACCAATTTCAGATAATAGAAGCCGGTCCGCCGAGTCGAATCTCCGCGGGCGTACTGCTGGGTCGATGTCGAAAACGGCCAACACCATCGAATTCGATCATTTTCAAGGATCATCTGAAGAATTTGGTCTACAATGTAAGGAATTCAACCAAAAATACAGTCAATTTTCGATTTCTATACAAGTCCCGGTGGAAATTAATCGTTATCTAGTTGATCAGGCCATCACACTGTTCTTTAGAAATTCCTTGTTATCATTTGGCTTGTGACAGGAATTATATGTCATCATTTCAGACAACACTTCAAGACCATCAGAATATGATGAAGAAACGTGGTCTGACCCTGAATGCCCATCAAACTATAGTGGTCCGATTGCGGGTAAGCCATTTCTCTACTGGTCTTTTTGGAACCTAACAGAGGAGGTCCATTTTCAGTACATCGCCGAATATGTCATTCGCAGTCTGAACGAATTTGGATGGGCCGTCGTCGACAATTTCTTGGGTGATGAACATTGCCGGTTCACATACAAGTGAGTTCAAAGCCTCCCTTCCCGGAGATCATCGTTCAGTCTTGCCAGTTATCTTCACAAAGATCGGGAACGGAATTGTCACGACTTTTTCTTTCTCACAGAGTATATCTGACAGGTGACGGGGTGGGGTTAACGCTACATGGCGCCGTTATCAGATCGCGTTCCGAAGATCAAACACCAGACTCATGCTCGGCCATTCCAGGGTTTATCGAACTTCTACGGATGGGAGGATGATGGGATAAAGTCCGACTAATACAGCTCCCTCACCAATCAGCCAAAACTCACAGTGACATAAGAAGGGCCACAAACGTCTTTTTGACTGCATTTTTGACACTAAAGGAAAGCGGTCAGATCCGAGAGTTGGTGAGGGTTTGCTCCGTGATCAGGATAGGGCTCTTTGGTTCCACATCTATCATTAAACTTTACGACCAGGAGAAAGAGGGAAAGTCTCTTCAGTTAGCAATTTATGACCTCTAACTATCGGATGTTCCCACTCAGACCAATTCAAAGGTACCGAATAGTCGTGGTCCGTCCGAGTAATATTCTTAACCGCACCTTTCTGTCGCTGGAGGATGACCTCCGATGAAAACGAATCACAGGAGACATGTGGCCATAAATAGAGATTTTATTTAGAGAAAATCTAGGCTGCGGATATGTCCAATGAAAAACAATACTAATTGTAAGATATTGCACCACTGCCGAGGGGTGTGGCCAGAATTTTCTCAAAGAAGCAGGTGCTTGAACGTGGAAGCAAAGGCCTATTCTTTTCAGTAACTTTCAAAATCAGTTATGAATTTTGAATTCTTTCATTTTAAAATAACCTCCATGTGAATGGGTTTTTCCCCTCTGTCGTGAAGTACGGGGTTGTTACCGCACCGAAGTATGATATCATTCGGATATGGGAGATGTAATTTTTCTTGAGCAGCTTTGACTTCCCGGCCAATTAGAATTTCACCAGTAACCGAAATCCCTCTTGTTCCCAAGGTATAGTAGGGTTAAGTATACAAATAGTGTTCCACGGGAAAGTGCAGGTCTTAATTGACTTTTCTGAGGCATGGGAGTTGCTCGGAAAAGAAGGAACATCGGTTTGACAGCCGTACAATGACACCACCTTGTGGAATGTACCTACGTAGGCAGTTTTTTGGAAGTCCTACTTCCTTTTGATAGAGATGTGTGGAATTTATTAGCGTCGTAAGAAATTCTTCCTGGGTGTTGAAGGGTTCTGAATTGTCAGAGGAAATTCCATCTCTACTTCTCGACTTCCTGGTACCTACAGCAAGGGAAAGTTGTCCTGGGTCGAATTCCAGCGCTTTCACTTTTGCAGGGAAGAGGGCCAATCTAGCGCTTTTACTAGTTCGTTTCTTCATCTTCCGATATCTTCCGGTCTACTGGGCGGAGGAGAGAAATAGCTTGTTTAACCATCGGAAAAAGGCTTCCCTGGCAAGCATGCTTCAGCGCCCACATGTGTGGTGCCGCATGGTTGCCCATGGATTCATAAATTTATGAAAAAAAACCTTCACACAGCTGTCAGATATTTTATTAGTCACATAACGGCCTGATAGGTTGTGAAAATTCTAATCTACACGTTCNCCTGTATCAAAATTAGAAACTATATAATAGATAAAGAGATCAGAAAATCATGTGGAGGGGTACGGTATTCATGCATGAATCAAATGAACCGGCTGCTGCAAATAGTTGTTTGAATCACGTTTCTCAGCCCGATTTCTCATGGAATGCACGCACACAGGCGGTGGACGTGCACGTTCCGCCTTTAGGCAGTTCCGCTCGTGTGAATCGAGTGCACCCGAGTCACGTCGTCCGCTCAAGAAACGAGCAACGAGCGACAGGAAAAAGTACCATTTGAATCGTTCCCGTGTAATTGCACATTTCTAAAGCTCGTTTGAAATAAATTGAATAAAGTTTTCATGCTATACGAAATCGATGGGTCTATGGCAGAAAAACGAAATTGTTTAGGGAAATCAAGTGTCTCTACGAACGTGGCCTGTTCAGTGCTGGACAACTTATGGATGGCAAACATAAAGATGAATATCATGTCAAGGATATACGGTCGGATCAGGTACGCAGACTATGAACTCCTCGTAAGTCGTCAATGGTGATAGGGTCGGCTTAGGACTGGTTATACCGGGCTCTCGGGTACTAGTCGGTTTTGCCACCAACCTTCTTTGTTCCATTGGCAGGAGGGAACGGCGAGGAGTGAACAGGAGGAATACGTAACAAGTCATATCCGTCTGTTCAACCACCAACTTCTTTTGCTTGATTGGGTACGAAGAACGAGGTGAGGGGATGGAACCCGGTTGTTGCCCAATGGCCCGTGGTTATAGTTTCCTGGGGGAAATGTAGTCTTACAAGTTTGGCAAGTTAGGAGCAAAACTTCGACCTTGGGCGGGGCTGGAACCCGTACTTGTGCTTTCCGGGCACCATGCTCTTTGTTCCCTACACTACCGGGAGCCCGCTTGTCCTCGCCCTCTTGATGACTTCTATGCCACAGCTAATCACTTGTAATTACCGCCTCAGATTGACTCCCTTCCCTCTGGGCTGATCTAGAATGGTCCCGCATCCATCCAGGACTCATGATTCATTGTTTTTGTTTACAGATTTACTGGTTCGACGGCATCGATCCACGAGCAAACGATGCTGCAACAGTACGTCTTTTGGTGTCGATGATCGACAGTGTGATTCAACATTTCAAAGGGCGACTTCCACCATACGACATCAGCGGTCGATCCAGAGTAGGAATTCGTTTCTTCTAAAAGTCTGCTCTCCTAAGTCCAGTGGTACATGCTTAACATGGTTGACAGGTGTGATAAATGGCGTCGTTAGTATGCACTTTGTACGTGGGCGCCCTACTTGTTGACGCTGCTCGCTACTGGGCATGTCTACGGGGCCCTGAAATACAAATGGCATCCCTGTATTTGAGTAACTTCTTTAATGGAGCAAGTACAATTGAAAGTGACTACTTTTACTACATTTCTGTACTAGCGTGGGCATGTTTGGCAAGGTAAACACTGGCGGGTGGAATCGGGCAGAATCGATGCGTCCTTTTACCCCTGGAAACTCCCATAAGGGTTTCGTCATAAGCCCGCAAAATAAAGCTCACCAAGAAGCGGTCGACATGCTAAGGGGCTGAACGCTTACAGAAAACAGATTAGTCCATGTGAACGTGACGGTTGTACAGTCTTATCCTACCTTATACCCTGTAAACTCTAACTCGGGCTTTTGCAATCTTTTACCCGATCTTCCATACATCCAGTACGATCTTCGAGGACTGCCCCACTCTATAGATGGGTTTGTGAGGAATTGTGCTGGGATGATCTGATTCAGAAAAAACCGAATCACAGTAAAGGTCATTGAGGGGCATTTTTGTTGCGCTTGCAGATCGTTCCGAAAAAGGACGCAGACATTAATCAATCCTTTGTTTCTTTTCCTTCTTCGTCGTATTCAAATCGTCCTAACGAAATTTAGGGAGAGAAGACGTCCAATACTGCTTTGTATTTCCAGGCGATGCTTGCGATCTATCCTGGAAATGGTACAAGATATGTGAAGCACGTTGATAATCCAGTGAAAGACGGTCGTTGTATCACTACAATTTACTACTGCAATGAAGATTGGGATATCAATAAGGTAATTAGTGATAAATCTTGATACGACCTCGAGTTATGTGAGTAATACCTGTACCTTGTTGAATTTCCGTAGAACTTGACTCTAGTCATACATTTTCTGTCACCGGCAGCCTGCATCTATTGATTCCTGCTGGAAGTTTCTATTTTTACTAAAAATTCGAAATTTGGGAAAACTGCGAATCCCAGCTTTTTCTCCGAGTTTGTTCCAAAAATTATTTCTTAAAAAATGAATTTGTTTGCGAATTTAAGGCAGTTAGTCATGTAATGTTGGTAAACTACCTCGATCAAAACTTTTAATTACAGCATGGAGGAACTCTTCGCCTGTATCCAGAGACTTCATTGATACCTATGGATATCGATCCGAAGGCTGATCGTCTCGTGCTTTTCTGGTCGGACAGACGTAATCCACACGAAGTAATGCCGGTATTCAGACCACGGTGAGTGAATGAAGTGCTTTGAATAATTCATTGTGTTTCCATTAGTTATATAACTATTAGGTTGAGTAAAAAGTTTTGATCGGCTTTTCAATCTTCACTTTAAAAAGTCTTATTCCCACTGAAAGAGGATCTCAATTAGTAACATTGTCTCCATCGTTGTTCTAAACATACGTCTAACGAACCGGCAGTTTCTTGACTCCTGAAGCCTAGAAGGGTGGCGGCCACGATTCGAAAAAGGTGGAGATCTCATCTTTGAGCTCCGGGCAGTCATCAAAATTTCTATCGCGGAGGTGATGTTTCAGAGCAAGAAACAAATGGTAATCAGATGG